AAAGGTTTAAATATAATTTAAGTACTGACAATGATATCAGTATTGGTTAACAAAATTTCTATGGCTAGAATAACATGAGGGTTAAAATTAGAATTTGCATACTGACGAAGATATCAGTAATACTTAAACTATCTGGGGATAGAAAAACATGAGGGTTATAACTAGAATTAGAGTACCGACGATGATATCAGGATTGTTTAACGTTATTTCTATCACTAGAATAAAATGAGGAATTTGGAATATCAATATATATATTATGATGTGAAAAGTTAATATTCCAAATTTTATGGGAAAATAAGGCAGAACCATTATTAGAATTTCTGTTTGAGAATAAAATAAAGTATTCTTATTTTAGCTTGTTTAGATGATACAAGAAATCATTTCGGTTTATCTGTTTGTAATTAAGCACAAAGCTACACAATGGGCTATCCGTGCTCTGCCCACCACGGGTATCGAAACCTGAATTCTAACATTGTAAGTCCGCAGACATATCGCTGTGCCACTGGGGGGGGGGCATCATTTTTGGATGCCTCCCAGTGGCTCAGCAAAAATTCAGCAAGCTTAAGACGCTAAAAATTGGGTTTCGACACTCTTGGTGGGCAGAGCACAGTTATTCAATTGGGTAGCTTTGTGCTTAGAAACAACAACATTTCCGGATTTTCTCAAGTTTGGATTTTTTGAATAATGTGTCCTTAAATAACAAGAAAAAACTGACAATCGATGCACAGTAGATCTCGTTTTTATGAAACAAATTTTCTCCAATGCAATAGACACGACTCTCTATTGAATTTTAAGTAGAGAAATCACTTATGGTTCTATATATATATAGACAAAGATGGAGGAACACGTACAAACAACACGAAGACTTAGTCGTCCATTATGTCCAACGCTGGTGTTTAGTCAGTTTTTCTTGTTTTACGTATATGTGATCAATAAGAGATGAGTCACTTGCATATATTATAAAATATATATATATATATACGCACACACATATGCGTGCAATTTTACGTATATATACGGAACAAACCACGTATTTATGTGACTCATATGAACTGAATAATTAAAAGGTATGTCAAATCAATGAACAAGCATCCAAATGAACCACAGTGAACCTATATTCATATAGGTTCAGAAGAAAATGCAGCATTGATGATCCTAATCTATTATTCTGAATTATTCAGAAGATAGATTAGGATTCATGTTTATTTATCCAAATGGAGTTATTGGCAGCAACGATTCTGTTTGGGGAATAACCTTTTAAAGGATCTTCTTATCTCAACATATTAGTAAACAAAAATGGAGTTATTGGCAGCAACGATTCTGTTTGGGGAATCAACCTTTTAACGGATCTTCTTATCTCAACATATTAGTAAACAAAAATGGAGTTATGCAAAAAAAAATCAATAACAACAAAAACAAACAGCTGTTGTTTAAATCAAGGAATACGACGACGACGACTGAAGAAAAACTTTGTAGGTTCGGTAAAATATGCGCCACCTATATACGCTAGTCATAACGGTTATTGAAAAAAAATACCTTTTTATCGTTTGATTTTAGTAAACAGAAAACATTTGAGTGTAAAAATTACAAAGTAAAATTATATGTATATACACACACACACACACACATATATATATATATACACGCATATATTACTTTCCAACCATCGCGATATTCCTACGATACTCGAAGCTTAAAGCTAACACACCTGTCCCGCTTAAAGATATGGCGGGACAAACTATGTCCCGCAATTTTAGGATAAAGTTGACAATTCTTTTGAAATCATTTGTCAAGCAATTTGGTAATATAAATTGCGTCACAACCACTAATACGTGTTTCATATCGTAGACGGCTTGTAGAGCCCTGGTATACAGTAGTTATATAGTGTACTTGACACCACTAATACATGTGTCATATCGTAGACGGCTTGTAGAGCCATGGTATACAGTAGTTATATAGTGTACTTGGCACCACTAATACATGTGTCATATCGTAGACGGCTTGTAGAGCCTTGGTATACAGTAGTTATATAGTGTACTTGCCACCACTAATACGTGTGTCATATCGTAGACGGCTTGTAAAGCCTTGGTATACAGTAGTTATATAGTGTACTTAACATATTATTATAAACTCTTCTTTACTTCCACTTGGACGTTCTTAACAGTAATTGCTTCATTCTTTGTACACTGACTGTCATAACATAACCGAGAGTTAAAAACATAATACAGATGCTCTTACAAAACGACTTTGTTATTATTTAACTTTCTTATATAATTCAATGGTGATTTTAGCGTATGCTAAAGTAAGACTAGTCCTGTGTTCATCTGTTATTCGAATTATAAGAAGTTAAGAATGAAGGGAAAGAAGAATATGTTAACCGCACTTAATCTCCCATAACCTGTGCCAACGCGGCCTTTTGCCCAGTACTAGGGCTCATCAGACCAGCTGGAATACTACAGACGTAGTAGTTTCGAGGCACTATTTATAACAACAAATTCACGAACACCAATCGCTAGGGTATGACTCAGATTAAGCATGTGAATTGTAATTATTATATGTTATTTAAATCATTTATAAATTAAAGTTAGGATATGGATTAACAACATAATACTATTTGTTTCATTTTTAACACCGTTATTTATTATAAGTGTTTTTAATCGATCTATGTAGAGGGCGCTGAATTATTCGAGTTATGTTAGCTCGAATAAAAAATAAATGAATACTGCCTTTTTTCTACATAATTATATGAATGAGTGGCTCCAGTCGCCCTAGATGGAGTGGGATGGAAGCGCCCATCTTATTCGTCCGCTCACACTTCGTAATCCTTTACACCGTTTCTACTTTGAAATATTATATGCTGGGAACCCTAGTCTAACAATTGCTCATAATGGAAACACCTAAGCGTCAGAAACAACAAATGGTACTTTTGAATGTTTTGATATTTATCCTCATAACTCATGAAAAAAAGTTAGGAGTCCTGTATTTTTTTGTGGGGGGGGGGAGGGGGAATAGGTCAAGCAAAGTAATTTGACGTAAATGGCTTTGGATTTTCTTTAACAAGCTCAACGACCGTGTAAAGTCAGAAAGGCTTATTTTATTGATAATATTTCATGAAAACAACACGCATAAAGTTCCCCATGTTGATTAAAACAATAAACAGCAAGTGACAAATGATCACGAATGTTTGTGAGCGTGATCTCGCTTTCAAGGATGACCTGCTTAAAAAACCAGTCGGGTTTTTCCGGGATTCAAGCCAGCTTGCCCACATACTAGTAAGCACGCGCCTGTCTACACCTCTCAGGTCCTCATCCGCAAGCCACTCGTTTTTAGATAGCACGTTTTGGCCTACAGGTCGTACAAAACACACATGAGCATGCATTAATTATCAACTTTCTTTGGCAACCTTTTCAAACTCAAAGAACCTAAAGATATTCAATGCTGAAAAGTTAAACAACACACTTGAAGATTTTCGTCTTCAGTTGATTGATTCAACTTAAAAGACTCAAAAACCCTATAAATCTTATATACGCATCACCATTATAAGAGAACTAACTGTATTTATTTGGTTTGCTGGCCCAAGCTATGCTGATGAGCCTTGAATAGGCGAAACAGCAGTCTACAGCAGAGAGTACGGCCAATCAAGGATTACATAAGGCCTTTACGTCATAGGTGATATTTTCAATTTGACCTTCGTTAAAAAGGAAAAGAAATCTATAACATACATATAGCTTTCACACTTAGTTGCCAGTCTTCAGCTGATTGATTCAACTGTTTGCCTTTAGAACGTGAGGTTTTGCTGCGATTTGTACAACAACCAAACAAGGAATTACAGTTCAATTATATGTGAATCTATATAACACTGTATGAAATCTTTTCCAATTAATCGACAAGAGGGTGAATCGGTATTTATGAAAACCCTTTTTTTTATAGCTTAAAACAGCCGAGACAAATTGGCGACCTAATTTCACTCCTCAAATATAGAACTATTTTCGTCTTAATTACACCACCATCACTCATTTGTAATATCTTCGTACCTGGCAGGTATTACTACTGAGGTTTCTCTTCTGAATATATTTGTCATCACCAGTTTCACCAGTGCATTGACGACCATTAATGTTGGCTATCTCTTTAGACCTACATACCACCATGGTTTCAAGCAGATGTGTAAGGACTAACATAGGTTACTTTATATCCAACTTTTATCTTTATTAGCCACAGAACTTGTACAGAGGGTAGATGAATATCAATTGATATAAGAGATTATATCATTTGTATAACAATAAAGTGATACAGTTCTGCCATGAAACAACATTGAATGCGATTCTCCGATATACCTATTTTTGGTTATCAATGGGTTAAACGTTTTTTAGATCTAAATAATTGAACTGGCGGCGGCGTGCTTTTGATGGTTGGAAGTGCATTCATTCGCACTGTTAGCTTGGGCTGATATGATTCTATTTACTAGAGCACTATTTTTTTATTTTTTTTACACAAAAGGGTTTAATTTCCATTAAATCTCAACAGGTTATGCTGTGATTATTTTCACATACCGTTTTACTGATGAAGGCATTTTTATTTTTTGTTCTTTTCAGTACCGAGTTACATGATTTTGCCCTCTTGTGGAAAGAAAAAGAAAAGTAGAAGTTGCAGCAAAGAAACACGTGCTTCTATTAGGTATGACGAAGTTTTTAAGGCTTTGGTATTTGTAACTCCAGTTCTCATATAACTTCTCTGTGTAAAACTCTCAAAAATCCGAACAGTAACTGCTAATTTTTGATATATTTCAAAATGCAATTGCTTACGCATTATCGTCATGTTCAACTAAAATAATTAAACTAGAAACTAGGGAACATATAAAAATACATAACTTTAATCATACTTACATAATTAATAAATATAAAACAGCTGAGAAGTTATTGGCGACCTAATTTTACTCGTCAAATATAGAACTATTTTGGTTTTAATTACAGCACCACTACTCATTTATAATACATTCTTACCTGGCGGGCAAAGACACTCTGCTGCTGATGCTTCTCTTCTGAATCTATTTGTCATCACCAGATGGCGGTCTAAACGCTATTAAAGATCAATAAACGAAATAAATATTACTTCAAATTACAAACTTTTAACTAATGAAACAGATAATTATATGGTCGAATGAGTGCGTTTAAAAAGCATTTTATCATACTCCACTTTTTAAACGAGACTCCACACCAATCACAACTATGCTAACTCTAACAAACACATAATGTAATTTCATTAAAAATACCTAATGGCCATAACAATCACACAGAGACATGAAGACAAAAAATGCATGACGTTCCAATACAATCAAATATGAACAAATCTTATAATGATCGTGAAGTAATAACCGAAGTTTGTTATTCTTCATTAGATTTTTAATTTAATTGTGGCATGAAGGTGAGACGTTAATTTTTCAGCCAATCATAAGATATTTTGCGGGCAATAGCAATTTTCGTTTATATGTTGTCTGTTTTAATACATTTCAAGCCAAGTTTAACTTCAGACAATAATTTGTGTTTGACTGAGGTGAAAATTGATGAAAATTATTTATTTTTCTCAGAAGTCGGGAATCAAAAATCAAAAGGTATTGCCTTTAACTAAGACGGTAAGTCTTTCACGACAATCTGGGCTCTTAGTGAATTTTAAATACTTTTTTGGTTTTTAAAGCCAAGCCACATTTGGCTATGTGCTGTATTCATCGCGCTGAATCGAACCTCGGATTTTGGTGTTGTAAGCCCGTAGACTTACCACTGTCCCATCTGGGGACATTTTAAACGCTCGCTAAGCACAAAGTTTTTTCGGCCACTGAAGAACTTTTACAGGAAAATAATTATTTGTTTAAAAAATTTTCGACATGTTTACTAATTGGATCAATATAAGCTAACTGTGAAAAGGTATATACATTTCTGCACGTTAAAGTCAAAAGGTGCCATTAAGACACAGTATGGAAAGAAGTAAAACTAATAATAGTAAAAACAAAAACTTGTGAAGTTGACTAAAGATAAGATATATTGATTTGTGGTGATACTTTCATCCCCCTCTTCACTATTACCTATTGCATTGGTACTTGGAACCCCAAATATTAACTTCTACTTTTTCCTTAGTTTACTCTATCCTTCCCTATTTACACCGCTCAGTTAATCACTTATAATAACGTTCTTCTGTCGCGTCAACGGAAAACGTCAACTGCATTTTTCGTTTTAGGCGAATCGTGTGACGCTTGGAACTTTACTAGAAAAGATAATAAAAAAGAGACTCCAATGAGGACACGCCATGAAAACAAGACAACGGATATAAGCATGCGAGTTCAGCTTATATTATCCTTGCTAATACCTCATGTGGCTCCGCCTAACAGTTATAATAATAATAAAAACAAGAACACTTTATAGTAGATCACACATCTTGATTTTAAAAAAATATTATTAGCAAGTATAATCCTTAATTTTTAATTTTCAAACCCTAACCAATTACATAAGAATTAAGTGATTCAATCTGAAAGGTTCGAATTTTTCTTTGAAGTAACAATTTTTTTATATAAAGATTTTCCTAAGTTGCTATTGTTTAAAAAAATGACTGATAAGTGTTTATTAAGAAAGTTAGACATTCTACAAAACTCGGAATTTTTTACAACGCAGAAACTTTATGAAAAAACTTGAACTCTGTCATTACTAGTAATTGAATTCTGTTCTAAAATTAATTTAAATACGGTATTTATTAGACATTTCAAATATTCTCATTTTATGAATAGAGTTTCATTGCAATTTTTTACTTTTCTCATCAAGATTTAGAATTTTGTTTTCGTAACTTTTTGCCTTTCGTGTAAATTTTATACAAGCGTTTAAAATTTCTTAATTCTGAACAGGTATGTATAATTGCTTCAACGAAAATATAAACACTATAATAGTTTGTTTTTCGCACAAGAATATTTTTTTTACATTTCAACACTTTTGATATAAGGATTATACCTTACACATTAATACTATTAAAATTAACTATGTTTATCTTGTGCTATAAATTATTAACACTATACGCAAAGTTAATCGTACTTTATAAAAACAGTTGCATATATTAATACAGCGGCGTATGATTGCAGATGCAAGCTGTGGTGCCACGGGCGACTTGTTTAGTAAGTAGGTATTGATTACACATCGATGTCGCGGGTGTTCAGCAAAGCAGTTTTGTTGTTGGGGAATATGTCATACCTTTCCAAGGAAGGATATTTTTAGTAGCAAAAGTACGACATATTCCCCCCAAGGAAGGATATTTTTCACGTAGCAAAATAGCAAACACTGGATCCCGCAAACTTTGAAGACGACTACCTTTAACGCAGGAAACAGCACGTTCAAATGAGAACATTCCACACAGCACCCTACCACACAAAGGGCAACCGTTGCCAAAGTTCGTCCGGAATGCTCACCCACCCAGTCGGAAAGTAATTGCTAACACGTTGCACATCCAATTAACCCTGCACAAGATATACCAATAACGCAAAAGCTGCTTCCCGGACACATTGATGAGTGAAAAACAAGCTGCAGAAAGCTGTACGATAAATGTAAGAGATAAAGATTTGTTACACCACTGAACGAGGCCAGAGTGTATTCAAACAACCGTGACATTATAACTCGGTCAATTTCCTACCGACTACGAAGTGAGTTATAAGAACTTTTCAAAATGGCACAAATAATTCGTATAATTGGAAATTCTATACATCACAAATGACATAGTAAATCAAAGGTGAACTAGAGTTACTATATCAAGAAAACAGATATGCGAGACAAAATTTGTTCTCTGTAAGCCCAGAACACTAAGGATATATGGCTATCAACGAAATAACATGTCTATAAGTCCAAGAACATTTATACGAACCATGTGTAATTTGAGATTTAGACTTTTTTCGTCGTATCTAATTGTTTTCAAATAAAATAATAATAATAATGACAGTACAAAAGGACATTTTGGCCTGTTAGGTTTTCTTTAAACTTTCACAGAATTTTTTTTCTAAATATTGTAACTAGTTGATCTTTCAATTATAAGTGATTTTGTAAATTCATAATACTTGAATATTTGATTTGGTTTTATCACTGTTTTACAAATGCAATAAAAACACAAGTCCTTATAGACATATAACCATAATTTATTGTCATTTTGAACAGCACGTATTTCCATTCAATTTCATGTTACAAACGTATTCTTATCAAATGACCTTTAAGTTTAATCTTTAAAATATATGACGTATTTTTTATTCGTGGAAAGAATCTAATGATTGGTTTGTTGAAAAAATAAGTTTCTTTGTTAACTTAGCCAAAAATTCTTTCCCATTCGTTAGATTACTTACGTGAATGATTTTTAATGACTGGTTACTCAAAATAAATCATTTTAAGCATTTGATTTTTGATTATTTTCTTTTCCAAAGCTTTGATATAAATCTAATTTTGATGTGCAGACTCATTTACATGGATTTTTATTTGCGTAACGGTCGATTCATACGTAAAAAGCCCTTTGTAAGTTAATTTTCTGTTTGTAGCAGCGTTAATCTCAACGAAGTATATATTTTTATAGGTTATTTATTGATAATTATTTTATGCAATCAGATAAATCCACTGAAAAAATTAGTTCATTTATTGGTTAATTTAAAAGGGAGTAATTTTCAAAAAATGATTCTATGTAACTGGATCTATTTTGCAAATTATTTTTAAAGAAAGGTCATACACTCTATATTGTCTCCATGAAATATTGGAATATATCCCTATTTGTTAAATGAAGTCAGAGTTCAACTTCGGGTATTTAAATTTTCATTGTTTGTTTGTTAATTTATTTTACAGATGTCTGCACATGCGATAGCGTCAACTTACGAGAAATATAAGAATACTAACTTCAGACCAATATAGACCCAAAAGTTCTAAAATATTAATTAAATGTGCGTCTCAACTAAAAACCTCTGTATAACCCGAGACCCTGATAAGTTTAAAACAGCCATTATTTCTAGGGATACTTACAAACATGCGTGAATCAAATGAATAAAAAATATTTGATTGAAAGTGTCCTCCACTCGATGGCTCGGGGGTAAATTTGAGGGCTTCTAATGCTAGAATTCGGGGTTAGATCTATGTTTAGATTTTAATATTTGTAGAAAGTTAGACCAATTTTACCTCTTAGTCTAACTTGAAACTGTTCTCTTCTAGAAAAGATAGTAAAAAATCCTCCCTCTTTATAAATTTAATGCATTCTACACGGCTTTAAGAAAAACTTTAACACTTGTTTGAAGTTATACACAAAGTTACACAATGGGCTATTTGTGTTCTGCCTACCATGGGTAGCGAAACTCGATTTTAGCGGTGCAAGCATTGAAAGAAATCAGTTTACTCCTTCAACTACGTGTTTTCGTTCCGTTATATTTCTTGTTTTCGCAATTGCTGAGTCGAATTTTTACAATCAATTAAATTTTATTCACTTTTGTAAAACTATTTTTTTTGATCAGCCACTTAAAAGTTGATATTTAATTATTCAGTGTGAACTAATTATTTGTAAATTAAACACTTACCTCTTGTATCATCCCATCAATCTGTAACTTAATGTCTTCGAAAACCGGTATTCTTTTTTCCAGTTTGCTGTATTCTGCCTTTAAAACGAACAACTGATCTTGCACGTGCCATAGTCTCAGTCCACACACGCTGGAGAGGCTAAGCGAAGCGGCACACATAACCCATATTACTACCGCCTGTTCAAACCGACATCGTCGTGGGTCACTAGTATGGTTAGAGGTTCCTTCACCAGCGTGAACGTCACTTTTGGGATAATCGGGTTGTTTTAGCTTAACATACGAGTCCGCTTCTACTTTATTCTCTTCATAACTACTTCTGAAATTTGTTAAGAAACGTTTTTCGCCTTTTTCCATGCTGCACCAAAGTTACGTGTGAATAAGTAAGTTCAAGATCTTTGATCGCTCGCCTGATAGAACCTTCAACATGAAACACGAAAACATTTGACGCAATGTCACGAAGTGATCTTCTTGGCGCAAGGGCCTGAAGTAGTACATTCTTCCTTTGCGCCCATGTGCTTCGTGCATCAAATCCGGAAAGACTGCTGGTTACCCGTGTAGTAACGACACGAACGCAAGGCTCTGACACCAAGATTCGAACAAGTTTGCGCGTGACAGCTGTCTGTAAGGTGTTCTCACGGTTACCCACGCTCACTACTTGCAGGAAAGATTATGCTGCCATCTAGTAGCCATTAAATGCAAATTGGAGCATTGGTGCATAGAGGACGAATTAGCAAAACTATTTCTGCATTAAATACAATTATATATTAAAACTGTGATATAATATTTTTATTTGTCAATATATTATTTTTAAAACAGAAATTAAACTAGCACAAATACATTATGAGTTTGAAATTATTGAAAATTAATCACTAAGTGACAGAAGCTGCAAGAAACCATCTCACGTGGCAAATAACATATCGTTTGGTGAAACGTGTCTATTAGAAAATTTATACCTAAAAAAAAGTATTAACCGATGCTACCTAACAAATCCGTGTAAGATCTTAAAATTGTTATATATATATGAGACTACAATTGCTCTCTATTTACGCTAATGTTTAAGCATTACATAATTGTTGTGCATAAAAGACACTTTTGCAGGGGTCTGAGAAGCTTGGGCAATAACTACAATAATACTATTACCTTTTTCTAAATGAGAAATGTCACAAGTTCTAAATTTGACTTTAGAAAAACGTCCCTGAAATTTATTACATTCCGAGCAACACTCTAGTATAATATGGCCCCAAAAAAGTTAAAACGTGTGAATACAGAAGGTTTCTGAGACGTTTTATTAATGTATAGACAGAAACAAGAGACATGACTATGTTTAATATCTCTTTCTGTAAACGAACATTTAGGGTATCTCCCATTAAGGATTTCACTTTTTCAGAATTTGGGATCCTTTGATGAAGATACGTCAGCCAGTTTCTCCTGGAGGCATAACTTTCTCTGCATTTCATCATTCGACTTCAGAAGAGAAAATAATATCTATTCCATTATGTTTGAATTAAACCCGATTATTCATAGCAGTTTAGCCAACAAATCAATTAAATCAATTATGTCAATGCATTAGGTGATAATTACGATTGATTAGCTACGCAGTAAAGATAGTTCGTCAAAATGAACGATTACTAGTCTAACAGTGCTGTCTTATTTCAGTCTTAACCTTTTTTCTTTTATTCTATGTACATCTTTGATCTCCTTAATTACACTGAACATTTGTCCCACAAACAACGCTGAGAAAAGCGCCCTTTTTTAATTACAAAATGTATGATTCGTAAGCTACACAGTAAAGGCTACATAGTGTATGAATACTCAGGATATTGTTGTTCTCTTCCATACACAACAATGGTAGTGTACGAATACTCAGAGTATTGTTGTTCTCTTCCATACACAGCAATGGTAGTGTACGAATACTCAGAGTATTGTTGTTCTCTTCCATACACAACAATGGTAGTGTACGAATACTCCGCCTCTTGGGTTGGGCGTGTCTTAATGGTTAGCATCTGACTATATCCGTTAGTCCATGGTTCGCGTCCCGTTACCGGATCAAATATATATATATAATAAATAACATTCCGCACTTCAGGCAATGGATATATTACACGAGCCACGATAAAATTCCATTATTCGATTAGAATAGCCCAAGAGTTGGCAGTGGATATACAGGTGACTAGCTGTCTTTCCTATCATTTAAAATTTAGGGATGACCAGGGCCGGCGCTATATCATTTGCCGCCCCCAACCTCCCCCTCCTTCAGCTTTTCAGAAATGTACGTAGATACGAATGAATGAGGAGGTTTCTGCCTCTAGGGTTGCATTTTACATTAGGGTTTTTTTGTCAAATTCTCCGGGAAGTTTATTATTTATGAATATTGGCAATGGTTCTCTGTCTTAGAAAAGCCTTAGAAGCAAAGGCAATCCTTGTGGCGAGAAAGCTCCCCATCATGGTATTTGTATTGCAGACAACGATTTAAACGATGGAAAGGTTTCATTAAAAGACTGCAATTCCTTAAAGCAACAACATTCATTTTCTACAATATCAAAAGTATGTAATCTTATCATCCACAGATAAGCTAAAAGAATTCCACCCTTCTAGCTTTCAAACTAGCAAAATTTGCTAAAATATTTTGCAAATCAATTTTCTCACAAATTTCACTTTCAATGGATATTAGAGCTAAATCAGTAAGTTATTGTTGATCTCAAATGGACCTCTCTCCACTAGCAACTGTCACAGGGAGCGTTAATAAAATCCGTAATGCTATTGTAATGTTTGGAAATGTTCCCGTCAATGTGTGCTTATAAATGTACCGCAAGACATCTGTCGGTGAAGTTTCTGTTTTTAAAAACTCATAATGATACTAAGTTCATCTGCAAGTGCCGTAGCTCTTATCTCCTATGGGCAGTTTTCATCAGTTTCGTCGGATAGTTTTATTTCAAGATCCATGGAATGTTTCAAAGGCTCCGATTTACTCGGTTCTGATATTTTCTCAAAATCGTACAAAAAACTGAACGCTTCATCGTGATTTTGAAGCAAGTCAAATATTTCTTTGATTGACCTAACAGCCGTGTCAATAATAACATTAAAAATATATATACGGAAATTATCTTTAGGGTCGTTCATAGTATCATTTTCGTGTTCGTAGTCACACATTTTTTTTTTTTACTTTTTTCTCCCGCGAAACTGTTCAGAAGGAAAATGTGGCTCTACATTACACGAGTTGGCAATTTCAGACGCAGTATGTTTCCTTTCTTCAAATTTATTTCGATAGTCTGCGAGACTTTTTTTAAGGAAATCTAAATGTTCAATGCACGATGATATATCTGTGTTTGGATTTTGCATGATTTTGGAAACAACGTTTACTCTCGACAACCATATAACGATGGAACATATAAACTTAAATTATTCCAATTTTCCCAACAAACATTGGGCCTCAGGCTTGGAAGGTCATTGATTATTTCTGATAAGCTGTCACAAACTCCGAATAAACAGAATCGTAAAGGTTTTACCGCTTCAACTCGACTTTTCCATCGAGTGTTTGAAACTGCTTTCAGGGTAAACTGAGACTCATTATTGGTTAAATGTCCCCACCTTTTAGTCGAGGAAGAGAAGTATGTGAACAGACGTTGAATTACAGAAAAGAAATCAACTATCTGATAGTTTACTTTTGCGGCATCATTAACTACTAAATTGAGAGTGTGGGGAGGATTTTTGTTTAGAATATGCAAACCGTTATTTTCCCCTCTCATATTAGCGCCATTGTCATTAGCATGCTCGCGCATACTTAAAATTTTTAAATTGTTGTCCACTAAATGATCAGTGGCAAAAATAGTCAGGCCAGCACCCGTTGTATCGAGAATTTTACAAAAGCCCAGATAATGCTCTTTTATCTCGACTTCGTGTTTTTTACATTATTGAACATAACAAATCTAATGACCACTGTTATCTGTTCTTGATTTTTATGCTAGAAAGTTGGTGCATTTAAATGCACTAGTGCATTTTAAATACTAAACAAATTTTTGATCAAAACCCAGTAAATAAACAGAGGCTCATTCACTGGGTTTTGAGTAAAATACTCTGCTAGTGTCTTGAACGCCATCATATTTATTGCTTATAAGGATAAAAGCAATTGTAAAACCCTTAAAACCTTCTAAAACTACGTACTTTTACTTTGGTAACAGCGCCCAGGTATAACTACAACCCAGGAAATAAATAATCCTTATTTACTTATCATATTTCAATGGCTTACCATAATGTTGAGTGGCCTAAGTGGCCGGAGCACGTTGGGAGCTTGACATAAACTGCTAACTAGACGCTTCAAAACCATTGATGCGAAGTAGGGGGGGGGGGCAACTATTCCCAGAGACATGGAAAACATTTCCAATAACGCCAAAAACAGAGTAAATTAAGAAAAAAGTGCATTAAATTGTGTGCGTTACTTGTTTGTTTGTTTTTGAATTTCGCGCAAAGCTACACGAGGGCTATCTGCGCTAGCCGTCCCTAATTTAGCAGTGTAAGACTAGAGGGAAGGCAGCTAGTCATCACCACCCACCGCCAACTCTTGGTCTACTCTTTTACCAACGAATAGTGAGATTGACCGTCACATTATAACGCCCCCACGGCTGAAAGGGTGAGCATGTTTGGTGGGACGGGGATTCGAACCCAAGACCTTCATATTGCGAGTCGAGCTCCCTAACCACCTGGCCATGCCGGGGCCGTGTGTGTTACTAAATTATAATTTATATAAATATTTACAAATGTAGAACTAACTAATAATTAATTGATTAATTATTCAATATAAAAATCGTTTATTTTGGTCCTTACAACTACATGAAAAATAATAGACACATGTGTACACAGCGTGGTCACAAGTAAATAGACACCACCTTTTCAGAAAAAATGAGAATCATCTCGTCAATTTTAGATTGTGGTATTTTCGGCCACTCTTGCTTCGAAACTTGGAGTAGATCGCTCTTCGAAGTTTCTTTTTGTTGTTGTTGTTTCTTGACTTGCCGGTCGAGTATGGCCCAGAGGTTTTAGATGGGGTTCATGTCAGGAGATTGGCTCGGCCAGGGCAACTTCTGGATACCATTTTCTTCCTGCCACTTTTGGGTGTTTCTAGCAGTGTGACACGGTGCTTCATCTTCTTGGAACAACGTTGTGTTTATGTCCACGAAACCCGAGGAATAAAGTGGCAAGAGCCCTTCCTCCAATATTTCGACGTATTTCGCAAAATTTATGTTGCCAACGAACTCCACTAAGCTCGATCTCCCACCAACCCAAACAGCTCCCC